TCTTTACCTTTCATAGTACTCTGTGAGATTGTCCCTTCCCTTTATCTTAATGTTTGTATTTTCAGGTACAATGCTATTGACCAGGTCATTACAGACCACTTCAGCTGTCCTGAGAGCAGAAAGTGTGAATCATACCGGTAAAAGAGTGAGTAGAGTGCAGTCCATACCAGGAGACACTGTTAAAAGGATCAAGGTTAAAATAACTGTTTATAGTATTTTCATGCCAAATGACATCTATGTCTGGATCATTGGCCGTCCTACTATGAGCTGCCAGCCTCAACTTGAGCTGAAGCACAGGGAACTGATTCTGAATGAAGGTCAGGGTTTTGCATTTGTTTTGTTGTTTGTTTGTTTGTTTGTTTGTTTTTACTGGACACTGTGTTTGGAAAATAAGATAATATTCTGGTAACTAAATTTATCAAATTTAGTTTGATGTCACACTGTGACACTGATGTGTCAAATGTGATAATAGTTACCCATGGTGGACACTGTTTGGTGGAGCTCCCCAATTAAAACAAGCTTGAAAGCAGGAGTGGCATCCACTTTTGAAATAGCTTGCCTCCAGAAATCCTATGAACCTGAAGAAAGGATGAAAGTTATACAAGTATTCAGGTCTTTTGTTCATAGGATCACTATGAGTCGTCTACAACTCAACGGCACTTAACAACAACAGCATAAAGAGATCAGTTGGCCTAGTGGACAGAAAGTGATGCTACCAAGCCAAAGGTGGGTGATTTTAATCTGCGGCCCTCAGGCCTGTTTATAATTGTTTTTGGTCAAGCATTCTTCTAGGTCAAATAGGCCTGGTCTGTCCACTTGCTGTACAGAGGTAACTCGTGGTTGCTGTGAAGCTGAACACTGTGACACTGATGTGTCAAATGCGAGAATGGTTTCCCATGATGAACAGTGTTTGGTGGAGCTCCCCGGTTGAAACAAGCTTGGAAGCAGGAGTGGCATCCACTTCCACAGATCGCTTGCCTCTGCAAACCCTACGAACCTGGAGAAAGGATGAAAGTTATACAAGTGTTCAGGTCTTTTGTTCATAGGGTTGCCAGGAGAAACTCTTAACTTTTTTAACTTTCCAATGTGCTCTGGTCAGAACTGTCATTATTACTCAATTACAATGATGCTTCAAATCACACAGTTTCATCTGCATTCAATACACATCTACTGTCTTATTTGTTGCTGATGGTGTGTTTATAGTCACTGATTTTGTCAATTTGTTTGGTTTTAGCTAAAATATTTTGGTAGTATTTTTTACTTTTTAAAGATGAAATAGTAATTAAAGGAAAGGGGAGGGAAAAGAGTTCTACTCAGTTATTCAAAATGTTATGATTAATAACATAATTCAACGTTTAGAAAGATTTTCAATTTTGTTGTTAGTATTCTTAAAATTTTTTTTAATTTTTATTATTTTCTGTGTGTGTACCATCAAACCGGATCTGACTGGTACAGGAAAAAATTGTCCCTCCTTCTCCAGCAAAAGATCTGGTAGATTTAAACCACTCTCCTCTGGGATTACAGTGCAGCTTCTTACCACTAGGCCACCAGAGCTCACCTTTTCTTAGAATTTTTAAAAAGTGTATTTAATGGGGAGTTCTGGTGGGCTAGTGGCAAAAAGCTGCACTGCAATCCCAGAGGTACACCGGAGGGGCAATATCCTCCTGTATTAGTCAGATCCGATTTGATGACACACACACATACAAATGATTTTTTAAAAAATAAAATAAAATAAAGTGTTTTAAGCAATTGACAACTATACTTATTGTATATTATTTTATTATTAAAAGTAACCCTAGTGGCATAGTGGGTTAAGTACTGGGCTAATAATTGGAAGGTCAACAGTTCTTCAAACACAACAGTTGCTTCTTGGGAGAAAGATTGAGGCCCTAAGATTTACAGTCTCAAAAACACAAGGAATGGGAATGATTCTAGGAAACACAAAGTGTATGAAGGATAGTGTGAAACACAATGTATATGAATTTTGTGTGCAAACCAACATAAAATAAAAAATAAAATACTTCCAGCCTCAGAAATATGATGGTGGGTCAGCATGAGTTGGAATTAATTCTACAGCATTGGGGTTTCTGTTTTGGGTATGTGTGTTATCCTATGATTAAATTTGATAATAAACATTACTAAGGATTCTGTATTGTCTATTATGGGAGGAGATCCATGGGAGTGGTGACACTAACCTTAGTGATGTGCCTGAATCATAGAAAAGCAGATGAACTAATTTCCTTTCCTATTGTCTTCTTTCATTCACCCCCCCCCCACGTGGGCTTTTTTTTCTCCTCTAAAATATGGACATGGTTCATACTATGACAGTCATCTCCAGTGGGTTTTCTGAGGCTGTTTATTGCATTGGAGGAAACTGCCTATCATTGTCCTGTGAAGCCCCTGGTGAATTTAAACTACCAGGATGGCGCCACCTGTGAGCTAGCAGTGCAACTCCCTACAAACTACAGTGCCACCACAGCTCCCCAAAACAGGGGCTTGGTTCAGACTACCAGGGGAGTCAGAGCCCTGAGCAGTTCCTCCCCTCCAGGATCTGGGGTTATGGCAGCAATGGATAAAAGTTTCTAGCTACTTGGTAGTACAAGAAGAGGTACTGAACAGGAGGTTGTATCTCAGAAATGTCTTCTTTTTTAATTTTTTTGTGTGTGTGTGTACCGTCAAATCAGATCTGACTGGTACAGGAGGAGGCTACCCCTCCTTCTCCCAGAGCAGGTGGTGGATTCGAACCGCCTACCTCTAGGATTGCAGTGCAGTTTCTTGCCACTAGGCTGAGGACTCAGAGTCAGAGTGGAAGTCAGCAGAAGAAAAATAAATTTGGGAAATAGGAGCTGAAAAAGTCCCTGGAATGTAGAGTTCCCTTTCCTATCCAAGAGAAGAAGAAAAGGAGAGTCTGGCAGAATGGTCAAAGCAAAAACAAAAGCCTGAAATGGGCACATAGGCCAATATGATTTAAGCAAAATGGCCCTACCCCCGGGGAAGTTCCTCTCTTAAATCTTAGAAGTGAGACAGATCTGAATCCAGCTGCTGGGCAGCTAGCCAGTCATCTGCCTTATGGAGAAACTGTCTTTCCAATTTAAACCAAGGACAGAGCAATGAAGTTAGTGATGTTATCACGATCTGGGAAAACAGGACTAGCCATTCCAGACTCTGGGAACCCTATAGTTGGGTGGGCTATTGTTGGCCCTCAACTTTAAGGGGTAACTAACATTCCAGTCTTTCTATCTTGCTTTCTTCCCCACACCCTTCCTATGCTGTTTCCTCCAAGGATCAAGAATTGGGATCAGGAGGTGAAAAGCCCCAATATAGTAACAGATTCCTGGGTTGCACCCCCACTGCAGCCTTGGCCACTGTCTACAGTCTTGGTTTCTCAGAGAATGAAGCTTCTATGTAAGAAATTACAGGTAAAAATAACAGCAGTCATCCCTTTGTAACTCAGCTCTAGGAGACACAGGACCTATTTCCACCCCACTCCAGGTCCACTGGGAATAGAAATCCATTTGCATTTCCTCTTGCAGCTGAAACCAGGCAGCTTGAATCTGGGCCTCTTCATTCTTAACTAAGTCCTGAAGAGACAGTCTATTAAAACGCAGCTCTGGAACCTGGATGGAATAAAAGGACGATTTTAGGGAGGGGCACTAATCTGCTTTTCTCACTCCTCCTTTTACCTCGCCTCAATCCCGCTTCTAAGGCTGGGTAGTTTCTAACCCAGGATCTTATCAGGAGAAACTCCCTGTTCTTAATCTCCAGTTCCAGCCATCTCAATGCCTCCGCTTCCTTGGGCTGTTATGAGCCTGATGATGTGAGATGAAATAAGGAAGTACTTAGGTCTAAGGAGTGTAAAGTTCTCCCAGGATCAAGCATGCCCAAGGTATTCTCCCCAAGTTCCCAAACCAACGAAACGCACGCAAATCTAAATATACTCTGAGAGATTGGATTCTACTACCCTCTAGTGGTCAGAGCTTGAAAGGACGCTCCCACAAAAACAGTACTTTCAAACCATCACCACACAGTGTATCCGTCTGGAAGGGATAAATGAACAGATTTTACTAATGAGAAAGCTGAGAAGACCTAGAGAGAATTTTTCTCCTTAATAGGCATAGCTGGAACTAGAACCAGGTCTCCTGTCTTCTAGGCCAGTACAAATCCATTTCCCTTTCGTTTCTACTTCCTAGCTAATCCCTGAGACAGCCTGTTTAAATTAAAAATCCCGAAACAAAAGGACAAATACTATATGTAGAAGGAGGCTGACATCAGGGTGGGGGTAAGACTGAGAAAAACTGGATAAATTATGTTTACTGCATTGAAGCCGATGAGGGAGAGAATAGTTTAAAAGTAATATATTTTAGGGCCTTATGATTATCATAAGAGTCCGGAATGAGGGTTGCAGATGGAGTATA